TTTAGAATACAGAGCATGAACGACTACTCGGTAAATAAATAGCATCTACAAACAGTTAGAATAAATCTTTTATCGTTTTAAATCCACTACGAATTTATGTTGTATAAATAATAGAAATATCAGTATTGGTTTGTGGAGATTGTTAAATTTTTATTGAGGTCATGAAGCGTCGCAGTTATCCATCGAAGACAATGGAAGATGGCCGCGATATCTCAGATTGGATCCCTGCTCATTGGTTTGGGGGTTAGGCGTTCGCACCAGAATGAAAGTCTTTTGTTTGGATCGCACACGGCAGATCATGGATACTCACTGCTGAGTTGTTCTATACAGGCCGTCCGGTGCTTCTACATTTTCATTGGTGGTCTAACACCGATCGGTTCATGATCTTAACAATCCGAATATAGTGATTCAACAAACTAACACTTCTTTGAATCAGACTTTTTAATAATTATTAATTTTGTCATTATATATCAATATTTTGATGTGTGAAGAATGTGAAATTTTCCAAACAATTGATTTATCAAGAATTCACTGTTATTACTTTTACTTGTAGTTGATATAAATAACTGGCTTTCAATGAAAATTCATTGAAAACCTAATAATATTATATATCATTAGTCAGTGAGCGTCTTTTGATATTATTAAGAATTAGAATTAGGTTTTTCAGTCCGTTTAGGGAGAGCGTCACTTTCAAACAAACGAATAGCAGAAAATACTAATCCATAATATTATTACTATTATAAATCAAACGTGATTAAACTTAGTTTCAAATGTTCTCTTTATAAGAATTACCCTACGAAAAAAGTACATATCTACCAACTTTTACTAGCCTCCGATATCGATTATTATCAATGTTTTTTTTCCCATGGGGGTAATTTTTTTTTCATAGATGAAATCAATAAAACCGTCATAGTTTAAAATAAATCTTTTTTTCATTATAATTCTATTTTAGAATTACTTATATTCTAAAAATATCATACTAGACATTAAGAAACTTGTCTCATATGCTTAGTATTATTATTTGATTTGACTTGATAGTATCATTAATCTAAACTATCAAGATATTTTATTAAGACTGTGGTGGACCAGACAAATTAATTTTGAGGTAGTCTCAATCTTTTTTTGTCATTATCCGATCGAAAAAAAGTTCCAAAAAATTTTTGTTGTTGACTCATCTGACAGATTGGGTTGGAGAATTTCGATCGGCGGCCTATACTCTATTGAGAGTAATAGGCGTAAGTAATCCGATTTTAAAAATGATCCATTATCTACGCTATTTATAAACGTTTAATAGTTATGATCTAAGGGATAATATGAATATTTGTAATTTTTTATGAGAAGCTGTATTTTGTAGTGCTGTTAGTAATCACTTGTTGTAAGATTGTGATATGACGGGATTAAACATGTAAAATTACATTCTGATATGCTTGAATGCTATTACGAGTTCACCTTACACGGTAAACGGAACGAAGTTCAAAGATACAATGACGCGATAAGCTATTCTAATCTGTTGTCCCTGGCCTTGCTAACTAGATCAAGAATTCTTGATGAGGCATAGAGATCGTATTCTACAAGCACCCAGAAAATACGAGGTCACTAAACACACAAACATGATCTCTTTTGATGTGGAACTTAAAAATGTTGGATTTAAACATGGTCAGAACGGATTTTAAAATGATAATTACCTATTCAGTGCTTTCATTATGCTTCAAAAACTATTTGATACAAACTTATCAGAAAGATCACCTTGAAGCCAAGAATACAAGGACATTAATTAAGTGTATTCTTCGTTATTGTTAATACTATTATTATTATTACTAAAAATCATAGAAATGTTCATAATTAGCTATTCCAATGAATAAACAGATCATTTATATTTAAGTTAGACTGACATAACATAGTTTATACGATTTCTATTACATGTGTTTTTTTATGTTAATTTACATTTTTACATTTATATTGGTGTTTCGTTCAACAGTCAACGAAAAAGAAATATTTAAACTATAATCCATTCTAAACACTAGTTGTAATAACTAAGTTTGCATTTTAGAATAGGGGGTTTGGGATTGATAAGTTTCTTTACTTAAAATTTACTTAGTATTACAAGCTACTATCACTTCAATAGTTGTTAAATAAATAAAAGCACTGCACAATATGTTTGGTATATCAGGGTAATCAGAATTAGTTATTTTATGTTAATTTATTCTTTACAAGTTAGATCTACCAACTATCGTCCTGACTGTAATTACTCAAAACTAAGAGTCTCTATGAGTACGTGAATTTAAAAGAATTATATATATTATCCGTACATTATATTTAGGTTACAATCCGGAAAGAATATCTATCGTCGTCCCAAGTTCCTACATCTCACCTCATCACGACGAAAGAGGGAATTTACAAAATAAAACCAAAGTAAGCGATGTAACCTGTAATAGGACCAAAATATGAAAAGTTGAGCATAATACTCACTTAAACCTTTAAGAAAGATGAAAGATGTGTCCAAATGAGTTGATGAGACAGATTATGCATGAAATCATGTGGTACCCTTATTCTTTGTTCATCATTACTGAGCGAATTACAAGAATGATTGTGTATTTATCAACTTAGCATATTAATTATCTGTTTATTTATTGATAGCATGTGGTAAAACAATTGAATTAAACTTTAGGAAAACAATAGTAAACATTTGTAAAGCCCACGCACTGAATCATAAGAAACTGGATCGATAACAAGATTTTCTGGTTTATAAGAAAAGTGATTATTGATTAATTAGTGCAATGTGCGACCATGTTTTGCGGAATTTTATGTTCTATTAGTGTAATGAAAACGGATGTTCGTTGTAATATTTCACTGTACAAAATCTCATGAAGTATTTACCAGCTTGGAACGTCATATGTTTTATAATGCTCATTCAGTAATACTTATCTTCATAGGGCTTACCGCTAGATGCAATACAGAACATTAATAGACCTGTAAGTTTATGTAATATCGTGTTAATACCTCTTAAAGCCCATACAATAACAGAAAGTGTATATTGTGGATGAAGAGTTCTATTAAATACTTGCAATATCCCAGTGAGTAAAAAAAATAGTTTTTCTGACGTTTCGTGACTTAGTGTAAGCCACTTCTTCAGAGAATAAATAAAATCATCCTATTTCTAGTTAGACTGTTCAAACGTGTTAACCCGTTTCAATGAAAAGGATACCATTTTTACACAGTTCTTGTATTCAGTATTACACAATATATGTTTTTAATAAGTAATGCTTATTTCATATGATAAATTTATATAAATCATGTCATACATTTCTTACTTGACTCTTATATTTATGTGGATTCATTAAGAGTTTAACAAACTATTAAATACTTCATCTTAATATAAAAGATTATAGAGATCAGAGACCTTGTTTCTAGATTTGTCTTTCAGTGTATATACATTTATATAATTCTGTTGTTCGAAATTTCAAAGATAAACAAATTTTACAACTTTCCTTTTTTTTCTTTTCGGTATATAAATTTATGTTTGATATCGATTTTGTACATAAGTTGACTTCAATTAAAACAAAAATGTTTAGTGCCTAGTAAGGACAAAATAACTGTATATATGATAACTGTTTCATGTACTCCAGTTTATGTATCATAACTGTTTTACAAGTTAAAATAACCTCAACAGCCTTAGGTTCGATTTCAGTTTAACTTTTTTACTGTTCAGTATTGAGAAGTTTCAAATTATAGTAATCTTTACTCACTTTATATAAGTTGCAGTAAAGCTTATTATCAAACTATACACTGATTACTTTGAAGCTAATACGATAGAAAGACACTAAACATACCTTCATCTCTATGGGAAATACAAAAAATATTGTCTCGTATCAAAGACAACTAATAATGTCTATCATAAATTTTTAATTTAAAAAAAGATGAGAAAAGTAATATAAAAGTATACAGAGTAAATCTAGTACCCTTATCTTGTTATGCATACAGTCAATTAGAAATTATCAAATACGCATTATTAATCATGTCACATTATTATTATTATTATTGTTATTTAATATATTGATAATACTAATAATATACTAGTTTACACCTAAAAATTACATATCTAAACGTTCATTTTATACAAACAACAATTAGAGACATAAAATCAATTTCCATTGATTTAGTTATTTATTTGATAGTGAAATTATCTATATGCTGTAATCACAGTTACTTCTCATAAAAATTGGTTCAATGTTTGTTCTAAAAACTGCATCAAGATTATTAGATATCTATTTTAAAAAAATCATTATTGGTATATATATGCATCTATATACGTATCTATATATTTCACTGATTGAAATCATGAGTCAATTGAAGACAGACCACCATGGAGAACCTGGAAGCACTGGAAGACCGTGTCGTTTTAGTGAGAAGCCGTTACTAGTGGAGTTCAACCAGGTCTGTTGTGAGAAATCAACTCACTGAAGACAATGGTGTACGGTGGCGCAACTTCGTGGATTGGTTGAAGTTAAACATTAACACCATTGGATGCCGGATCAGTAGTCTAGTTTGTTAAGCGCCTGGCGCGAGACTGATAGGCCTCGGGTTCGGATCTCGCGGGGTGCGGGGTCATGGATGTGCACTGCTGAGGAGTCCCATACTAAAGCGAAACGGCCGTCCAGTGCTTGCAGGTTTTCCATGGTGGTCTAGCTTCAATTGACTCATGATTTCAATCAGTGAAATTTCTAAAATCTCTTCAAAACCCCTTCTGATATCTATATATGTATATATATATATATATAATTATTTTGTTTATTAGTTTAAAACAGTTTAACAAATAATTGTTAAGTAAATATAAACACTAATTCCTTAACTGATTTTTTAAATATCTTTTGAAAAAAAACTAATTCTGCAAAATTTGCTACTCTCTTTTTTGGTGGATGCATTATCATTGAAATTATCGAATGAATATGATTTTATGATTATTTTTTGTTGTTGTTGTTGTTGAAATTCGTATCGTCAACACCATTCGAGTATATGGTCCTATCAACTATCATAGCTAATTGTGTTGTTTTAGCGATGGAAGTTCATTTGCCAAATAAAGATAAACGTCCATTATCTGAAAAATTAGTAAGTATTTGTTATATTCTTTAATTTTGTTTACGTTTTTAGTTTAAAATAATTATTTTATTGATTTGAAACAGTAAAATTTAAAGTTTTTTATTAATGTCAGAAAGGATCTTGTAAATATGATTGTAGTCTTAAAAGTTGAGATCATGAGTCGATTGAAGCTAGACCACTATGGAAAATTTAGAAGCTAATAAGAGACTGATCAATTGCAGTCCTAAACATCAATGAGAAGATTCAGACAAACAATACAAAGTAGGTTTAAACATCACTCTTATGCACAAGCTGATGACTATCAGGACTCAGTAGCTAAGTGGATAACATAATGGCGTCTGAAGCGAGCGGTACTTGGTTTGAGTTTCGATGTAGGTACATCCAGTTGACGAGGTTCAAACAGGGTAAAGTGCATGCAATGTATTCCTTTGCTGGCCACCATCAATCTTTGCAAACAGCAATTGGTTTTAACATTTGTTTGATCATTTCGTTTTAATACAGACTATGATTGATAAACAAAAAATTCTTATCGTACAAATAGTTTGCTTTAATTTAGTGTATTAATATACTTTCACATTATCAACAATGAAGGGTGTTGCGTTAGATCAAAAAAAGCCTATGAAATGAGTCTTTTGTGGGTCATTGATCTGACTCCAGTTTGATCAAACGATTCTGCTAACGAAATACACATCCGGGCTTGATAAGCATTAGTGAATAACTGAATAAAATAAGCTAAGTATATGAATGAATTTTGGACACATATATTTCGTGCACTCGTTGATCCCGACAGATATTCAGAATAATAAGTGGGGAAGAGAAGCGAAGTGTAGAAGCTATGTGTGCCAGCTCCATTTTATCCGCCGACTCAGTATTTCTAGTGAGACAAATAGAAGCGAAATACATATGATGAACAGGTTAAGCGACGAACACACACGGTCATATCGAAACAGCCAAGAATAGCAAGAGAGTAATTGATAAGTTTAAAATGTGATTCAAGAACAATGAATAAAGTGGTCTATTCGGAAGCTAGAATAATTTGTTTGGGCTTGACATAGCACTAGACGCTACAAATCAGACTAATACCATGTACTGACTCATTTATTTATTGATCATTGAACCCAGTGCATTGAAACCTGGACATTCTCCTTTGTTTAAGATCTTTCAATTGAAGAGTTTAGGTAACATGTGTTCAAAACAATTAAGAATGATAAATAATACATTCATTCTATGGCAAAACTAAAGTATGGGAGCGAAATCAGGTGGTTCTTTAAAGCACTTCGATAAATCTTTCCCGTTAATAACCTGTCAGGAAGCAAGTAACTGAAATTAGGTCATAAATAGTATTATACCTGACGTATGATTTTCCTGAAGGTTAACTTAAGGTTCTTGTGATTTGAAATTGACAAAACTTTGATAAAAAGATTCATCTATATGGCTTAAAAGTTTACTACCTACTTATTCTGCTCTAATATTTCTTCTGATATAAGCTTATCTACTGATTTTTATGATTCTGCCCAGTTAACTCATAAAAGACGTTGACTTTATCAATGTTTCTGAACACATGTTTCTGTAATGAATTACTGTGAATTCGTTTACATCATTATCATCAGTTACATTGGTTGTTAGTGTTTCACATTAGGCAATACATTATTAAAAGAATCATTTGTCTGTGGATAACTTTCTAATCTATAAAAAATGAAATTAGATTTTCAAGACCTTTTGATATGCATAAAGTCAGGACCAAAATATAACATTAACGTATTCATTTAAACATTCTAGAAATCATTTTTTCTTATCATAATTGCATAAAGTAGATTCCAATTTGTTTTATTACCATCATATTTTCATCGAAATTAGAAAGTATACTATCTAAATTCAACATACCATTTAAACTTCGAGCCATAATCTAAAAATGCATGTATTAATTCGATTAGTTCGTCTCTACTTAATCTTATCATTTTTCAGTACCCAACTTGTAAGTAAAACTTTTTAAATCAATTTAATAGAAGCTTATTATTTAGTTCGATCAATTAATTTGCGAGAACAAACCAGTATGTTCTCGTGCTATCATTACATTTCAGTCAGAAATAGAAAATGTGGGACATACTGCCACGATTTTCATTTGAACTGTATGCCACGATTTAAAGAATCTATTCTCAATAGTGACTACATTTCTTTGTTCTTTAACATCTTTTAAATCTATGAATTCACATTATTTTTTTATGATATTATTACTGAAACCTCTTTTTTTTCTGCCACTTTTCTAAATGTGTTTTCGATGTCCATTTCCTCAATGTGATTGTTCAAGTGTACAGTATTTTGTTGTTGATTTTCATTTCTTAAACAACTAGTCCCCATGATAACTTTCGATAATGCACTGAGAAGACGAAGTTTATCAGAATTATGTGATACATTTCGTCTTTCCAATGCATTGTCGAGATTTTCATTTCGTTAATATCTTCTCATTGTTATTGGTCTAAAGTGAGGTAACGAGAATCGAGAAAATACTTTCATCTTGTTTATCATTGTTTATGATTGATAGTGATTGTTACAATAAGAATAATAACCATTGAAATAATCTTTAGAGAATCTATCATCATGGACCAATGTTTTTATTTATTATATATATAAATGCCAAATGACGTTAGCAGTCTACAAAATGATTTATATATATAAACTCTTGCTAAACAATCTATGCTTGTTGCTACAGTTTGAAATAGTGAATTTATTCATTTTCTACGCAATCAAAATAACAATATTACTATTCTTCATTGACTATGGTTAATTTAATGAGAATATGAAGCTTATCAATTTCAATATATTTGTATTGGTGATAATTATCGATTAAACTGCTTTTACAGAAAAGAAATGACAGTGATGTTTATGGTTGAATAACATTAGGGAAATAAAATTCAATTGTATGAACAAGAACTTCGTAAATTATCATCACTAGTAACTGACAATAGCAGTGTACAACTATGTCTAGTTTTGACATTGATTGAAGCTGAATACTTGAATGACTGTTATAAATTAAATAGTTGTAAATTCACATATAATAACATAATTGTGTAGTTTTACCCAGTTTTCAGTGATTATTTAGCTGAAATTCATCCATGATGTTGAACAATGTGACACAAAAATGTTACTATAATAATAAAATGAAAGCAAATAAAACTGAGGAATAGAACCATTCTCATTTTAAAATCTAGACAATTGATTTCATATCCTATACCTTGTCACAAATGAACATCTAATAGAAGTTTGTAACTAGTTTACAACTTTTCAAGATTTGAAAAATCTTCAAATGATATCAGTTTCTAAAAATAATGTTTACGTTTGCCATCACGTTAGCCTTACCAAACTACTTCGTATATCCAACAATTCAAATAATTTGTAGATTAATAAATAAAATTACGTATCTCATTTAAGTAAACTGGAAAAAATGACCATTTTAATGTGTATGCTCAATATATTCACTGAATTCCATGATAGGTATTACGTAATAATTCATACTTAGAATACATATATAAACTATCAAACTATTAAGAATTAAAATAATAATTGATTAAATATAAATATCAGTATTGAAAATCCTGACCTTGATGTTGGAATTTTCAATACAAATGTCAAGACAGTTCTACTGTATGGGGTGGAAACCTGGAGAACTACGAAATCCAACATCCAGAAGATACAAGTGTTTATTAACAGTTGTCTACGCAAAATACTTTGGATCCGTTGGCCAGACACTATCAACAACGACCTACTATGGGAGAGAACAAACCAAATCCCAGCGGAGAAAGAAATCAGGAAGAAGCGCTGGAAGTGGATAGGACACACATTGAGGAAAGCATCCAACTGCGTCACAAGACAAGCCCTCGCATGGACTCCTCAAGGCCAAAGGAAAAGAAGAAGATCAAAGAACACATTACGCCGAGAAATGGAGACAGACATGAGAAAAATGAACAAAAATTGGATAGAACTGGAAGGGAAGACCCAGGACAGAGTGGGGTGGAGAATGCTGGTCGGCAGCCTATGCTCCATTAGGAGTAACAGGCGTAAATAAGTAACTATCAGTAGTCACTTAAGTCACATAAACCTTCATACATTCAAATTAGCATATATAAAAGATTGATATTAAACAGGATATCACCACAAATCTATAAAGAAATGATTGATAGTTTCATTTCTCACTCATCTAATAATTATCTCTTCGGTTAAAGTTATTATGAATGATAAAATGAAGTGTTTAGTTGAAAAATAAAAACAAAACACCAACCAACCAACTTAGCTTAAAATCATCATTCAATTAAATGTGTTGCCCGTAAAAACAAACTATTTAATTTTTAATTATTAAAAATGTCCAAACGTGTACATGTCTTCAAATTTTGTAGGCATATTATCATTATTATTAAATATGCAAAAGATGATATTTGTGAAATGTTGTTTCTTTCATAAAAGAAGATAACATGGATTATAGAAAAAAAGAACTTCTTATGATAAATTGTAATTTTATATAATCTAGAAAAAAGACATTCCATGATTTTCATTCTATCAATTTAACATTCTATTCTTTTTTAACGTTACCATGTCAATCATTTGGATTGTTATGATTCAGGAAATGTAAATTTGACATATACAACGAGATGTGTGTGTGTGTGTTGTTGTTGTTTTTGTTTTTTCCAAAATAAAAATTTAACTTACTAAAGAAAATTCACTTTTTTTCATTTTGACTAGATTTATTCTTGATCATATCTTTAAAAAAAGTAAGGAAAATAAAGAAAATTTTATTACATTTGTTGTCATATTCCATGAAGTAGATAGTTTCATCAAGTGAAAGATTAGAGGAAAAATAACGACAATAATACGATATCAGACATTAGTATAAAGTTGACATGAATATACCATGTTAATTGTCCATTATTTCTGAAGGGCTGAATATTGACAAATTGATTGACATGAACTAAAATGTTACATTTGTTTTAACTGAATATAATGATTATCAGTCTTATTCTTCTTAAATATCTACATCATAATAAGCAAAGATGGATGGTGGCTAGTAGTGGAATCCACGATGCACGTTTCATTCTATATGGGACTTGTCAATTGAATGCCCCAAATAGAACGAAACGCGCGTCGTGGATTCCACTGCTGGCCACCTTCTGTCTTTGCTTATAATGTTTGCTATTTAAAGCAATATTGAAGCAATCCAAACAGGATGTACATATGCCATTAAGAGACTGATAAACTGAAGTCCTAAACATCAATGTGAAGCATCAAACAATCAATACAAAAACGAATAATATACATAATTATTTATAATACTCAAACATATTTATATTCTTGTTTTTTGTTTGATTTTATACAATATAATAGGCTCCCTTTGATGATCCTATGTACAATGGAAATTAATTCTTCATGAGTAAACATTCTAGTAAGATAAAGCTTGTATAATCCAGTAAGAGAGATATTTTATACAACCAGAATAGCAGTGTCATAAAGTTTGTCTCTGAAACGTACAACAATAATTACAACTTATTGCGATACAGATGTTGAATTCTCTGAGCTGGATGGTTTACTTGTGAGGAAATTATTGTAATTACTTTGTATTCAGAACAGATATAAATTAAGAGTGATCTATCAGAATGTTCTTATTATCAAGTTTGGAAACAACCAATAAACTCGGATATTAACAGATTCGTCAGTTAGTTACATGTGAGAAAATTCTAATAGCTAAAGTATCTTTCAGGTTTATACTTGCAATTTAATCTACAAGATGAAGGTACTTTTTTTGGATGGAACATTTATTTAAGAAGAAGAAAGGTTATGAAACTCTTCCTTGAAACTCTTATTCTTCCCAAATATTTCAGCTCTGATTGATTCATCAGCTGATCAGTTTACATCAATTAAAACCAACTGATAAACTCTAATTTCTCAATTCTTACATTGCACTTCTTAAATAATTAGAAATCATTATGCTCACTGTTTACTTCAAATGAACTGTTTGTGCTTAGTTGGAATCAATTGATAGAATGTCCATCATCAACTTATGTCTAAGGCTTGTTAGTGTACATTCCATTTATGAAAATGTTTTGTTTTTTAGAAGCGTTCAAATTTACACCCTTCAGTGTTATAATCAGAAAAATTGACACTAAGTTATTCAAACTGCAATCGTATTTATTAATTCTGTACTTATGATTGTTTTATTTGTTAATTTTTAAAACTTTCTATCTGTAGGAAATCACTGAAAACTACTTTTTGGGAATTTTCACCTGTGAAGCTTTCTTGAAAATTATTGCATTAGGATTTATTCTACACAATGGATCTTATTTAAGAAATATATGGAATATTTTAGATTTCGTTGTTGTAGTCACTGGGTAAGTATTGAAATATTTGTTGTATATTTTTGTTTCTCTAATTTGTTATCAAACATTTACAGATTGTGTTTTTGATTTGCTTCTTTAATATAAACTAATTTTTCAACATTTAAAATCAATATTATATATATACTTCATGAGTTATGTATTTCAAGTGTCACTTATAGACAACAAGTAATACACTTCGTAGAGTTCAGTAAACATTTAATTCAACATGATTTTTGCTGTTCGGTTTTGAATATATGTTTCTTATATTTAATATCCCAAAAGAAACTGAATGGAAATATGAAAGAATTTTGGAACGTATGTAGAAATATTGTTTTTTTTTAAAAAGGCATGGCAGTTTCTGGAATAGTGTTTTAATATTACACACAATGTGCAACTGATTCAGGTGTATCCAGCTGATGAGTCTTAAAAAGGATGAAAAGTCCGTATAGGATTCCACTGTTAGCCATCAGCCATCTCTGCTTATGTATAACTTTATTCATTATAATTTTGCGGGTAATTTATTGCTCTTAAAGACAGAGACCGATTACATAAGTATAGGAGATGTATTCATTCTTTTTAAGATTTTAGATAAATTTCACTTCTAAGTGGTGGGTAATACCAAATTACCTCTGAGGGGGTTTGTTGGTTATTCATAACTATCTAACGTCAAAAACACTAAATAATTTGTATTTTCTTGCGAATACTTTATTAACAAAAATGCTAATGAGATTATATCATTAAGAATATTGATAAAGACTAATTTGTCACAAAATTGTTAATTCCGATGTCTGTTTACAAACAGCGGAAACGTGTAGAGTTTGTGATTTTGCTCACTTGTATATCAAAGATTTGAAATATGTGATTTAGTTTATTAGTGTAAGATTGATGTATGTACTCTTGACTGCTTAAGACACTGATGTAGCCATTTTAAGCATAAGAATAAATGGGATATAAGAATGGAATTTATTACAGTGTAATTATGATATTGAAGCATAGAATCTGCTAGCCTCAGAACTGTTTATCCTTTATAGCTGGTTGTATGTATTGCCGTAAAGGTTCATCGTTAGATAAAACAAATACTCATTTTTTTATTTCAATACATTTTCATGATTATATCTGTTACTAATAGATAATATTGATTACCAGAGTTACCACAAATATACTAAGCTTCTCATTTAAATATAATAACGTCAAAAATGCATGATTCTTAGACTTGAATTTCTTAATCCCGTAATGCTTTGATATTATTATTTTGTTACCTATTCAACTATACTTCATATTATTTCACCAAATGGTGTTCTAAGTATTAAAATTACCTATTGAAACAGAAATTTCTTTTTGGTGGAATTTTGTTTTATCAGCTGGATGGTTTGATCGTGGAGCTTTCATCGTTTATTTGAACGACATCATCACCACAGAAGAATGATGAAGGGCCCACAACCAAACCATTTAGCTCAGATAACAAAACTCTACTAAAATTATCCACTTGACCTAAAAATCTCTACTATCTCAGAAATTCGTTTTTCAAGTACTTAGAAAATATTATAGAACTAGTTGTACTTCTAAAAACACCGTATTTTGTAAACAAAACTTTTAAAGGAACTTCAACTGTTGATCGAAATACAGTCATTATGATTGATTTAGATAAAAAATTTTTTATCAGAACGGGTTTTATGGAGAGTTTTAGAAATTTCACTTAAGCGCTCACGCGCGAAGCCAGTAGGTCCTGGGTTCGAGCCCCGCGTGGTGCGGGATCGTGGGTGCGCATTGCCGAGGAGTCCCATACCAGGACGAAACGGCCGTCCAGCGCTTCCAGGTTTTCAATGGTGGTCTAGCTTCAACTGACTCATGATTTCAACCTGTGAAAAGCTTTTGATTTGATTCCATTTGTAAGAGTTGTTGAATTTTATTGTTTTTTTTACTTTGTATTTCGAATGTTTATAGTATTATCCTTTGTTACTGTTTAAATTATGAGACAGTGAATTAACTATATGAATAAATAGAAAAGGTAATCATGAAATCATTGAATTTTATAATAATTTTCTTCTCATTATTGAATGAATTCTAAATGGATTTTCAAAAAATCTTAATATGAGTCAACCCACTGTGTTTACCAATTTAAATGTGTGTGTGGTCACATATACATAGGGAGGAGCAATCGTGATCTCAAAATTAGGGTGTGTGAACATGTACCAAAATGGTTGCAGAAACAAATGCAATCAAGTGATTCAATAAGAGCAGAAGATAAACATCCATCATCCTTTATTGCTAAGCATATAACTGAAACAGGCCATAGGATTGATCTGAACTCGGCTTTTGTGGTTTTGTATAAAAGTGTAAAAGGGCGTATACTAAGTCATTATATGTGAAAATTATATTTGAAATATTCTCAGCGATTGAAATATAACTCATTCCAACATTTCGTCCAACTAACTTGTCTGGACTTTTTCAGGGTAATAATCAAAATCAAAATTATCAAAGAAATATATAGCTTTTTAACAATCAGGATTATACTGTATTAAACCAATCGTATTTGGATGTTGATTTTGTAAAATAGGATAAAATGAGTCAGTTAACTACAAATCATGTGAAGAATTCAACTACATGGAATTACTTAACTGAGTAACAAATCGTATGTGTGTGAGCGTGTAGGTATGTATGTATGCGTGAGAGATTGATATGAAGGAATAAATAAAGTTCAAGTTCAAGGATGAAAAATTGATAATGAAACATCGATGTACATGTCAAAACATAAATTGTATTGTTTAAAATACTGATGAAGTTCTTTCAATAATAATAACGATGCATGTGATATTAAAAACAGGTTTAAACAAGAGATAGGTTCCAAATTTACTTGTCAAACGAAATTTGCCAAGTAGTTGCCAGTTGAATACCATCTTTTCGGTTCAGGCTGTTCTTGATCGCCCATATATGCAGTGCTTCTGCCGTCAATCTTTCTTTATGGGTGTTAAAACCTTTTTGAAGTATTTTGGCCCTTCAAAATTAATCTTGTGCCCTGTTTCTAACGCATGTAACGCTATCGCTGACTTATTTTCAAGTTTCTTTAAATCGACCGAGGATTTTGGAACATTTTTCAAGCATTGTTTGTGTTCCTTCAATCTTACATTCAATTGCCTGGATGTTTCTCCAACATAGGTAGCATTACAGTCATGACAGTGAATCTCATACACAATGTTCTGTTGTTCTTCCTTTGCCAATTTGTCCTTAACTTTCACTAATGTCGATCTTAATGTGTTATTCGCTCTAAAATACACTCTTATATCATGTTTATTTGGAATCCGTTTGATTTCATCTGATGTTTCACTACGGTAAGTTATGACTACGGTGTACTTCCATTCTTTTCGTATACTTTCTAGTTTAGTTTTTCTTTCATTTTTGATAATCTTCTTTAAAAACCTTTTTAGGTAGTTGTTATCCCTAAGAGTAGAAAATACTTTATTTAATTCGATTCGTTGGTCTTCCTTGTCTGTAACAATCTTAGTACTTCTGTTTATTAAATTTTTTACCACATTAATTTTCGTGCTCTGTGAGTGGGCTGAATGAAAATCCAAGTATCTCTCGGAATGTGTTGATTTTCTCTAAACATTTATTTTCAACTTGTAGTTGAATTCTTCACATGATTTGTAGTTAGCTGACTCATTTTATCCTATTTTACAAAATCAACATCCAAATACGATTGGTTTAATACAGTATAATCCTGATTGTTAAAAAGCTATATATTTCTTTGATAATTTTGATTTTGATTATTACCCTGAAAAAGTCCAGACAAGTTAGTTGGACGAAACGTTGGAATTAGTTATATTTCAATCGCTGAGAATATTTCAAATATAATTTTCACTTCTAATGACTTCTCTATACTCGGCGCTCAATTACTGTCAAACTATTCGTTCTAATCTTGACGAATAGGCGTATACTAAGGTTTATTGAAGCCTTAGCCACACGAAAATTCAAACCCGCTTTGTGTGTTCAAAAACAGTTTGTTCTTACCTTAAACCTACCCTGGTAATATTGACTTATTATCCAGAGTGATTAGGTTTTGAATTGTGTTCACATTATTGTTATTATTATTATCCTTATCTCCTCTTACCCTATTTCCAGTCTAGTTGACTTTTTATATATAAATGTTCTTAACAAGCATATGTGTGATCAGATTGTTCAAAATGTATTGCCCTAATATATCACATAATTCTGATAATCTTTGTCTTCTAATTCCATTATCCGAATTGAGAATGATATAAAAGTGGACTAAAGCTCACTAGATAAAAATTATGATCTATCTAAGAAACAAATCAAGTTACAAATTTAATCTATTCAATACAACACAAAGTTGATCATAAATTTACAATGAAACTATGATTTCATTTATCTATAATAAGATCCATTCAGAATTTCAGGATCATTATTATTTAAGTTGAACAGTATAGTAATAACTTCTCTAATTCTTTATAAAAAAAGATAAAAAAACTAAAATTTATTTAAAACAAATAATGAAAATTGATCATTTTTAATATAAAATTTAAAACATAATTTGATTTTGTTACGTAATCAGCATTTGTAATAAATCAGTTTCCTGTTAAATAATCATTTCTAGTTTTTTTCCATAATTTTTATTATTTACATTGAAATCTTAAGGAAAAAAATAAAATATCCTTTATGATTAATGATTAGAAATTAATAGGGTTATTTATAGATCATTGTGAAATTACAGATTATCAGTATAGGGGTTGTGGAGATTGTTAAGTTTTGATCGAGATCATGGACCGATTGATGTTAGACCACCGTTGAAAACCTGGTAGCATTGGATGGCTGTTTCGTCCTATCGTGGGACTCCTCAGCATTGCGCACTCACGATTCCACTTGTGGGACTCGAACCCAGGACCTGTCGGTTTCGCGCACAAACGCTTAACCTCTAGACCACTGAGCTGGTATCCAGTGATGTTAATGTCTAACATCAACCAATCCACGAAGTCGCGCAACTATCTTCTATTGTG